TTATATATAATTATGATAAATAAAAATTAAATTAAACAAGAAGTTAAAAAATTCATAAAAAATTTCTCATATAAGTTCATTTTTAATATTTAGGAGTTGATTTGACTCGTTAAAATTGGGACATAATCACATTATTAAAAATTGAATGGAAGTCAATGATAAAACTAAAATTGTTCAATAATTTTTTTAAATATATGTGAATTAAAATTAAGCAATTAAAAAGATCAAAAATGCAATAAGTCTTTAATTTATCTTTTTTTATTTTAATTTTAATTTAAGTTTTAAAATTTTTAAATAGTCACTTATTGTTGAAAATGGCCTTGTCTTACAATATAAGTTGTTTATTAAAATCTTAAAATGTGATTTATTTGTTCAAAAATATTTATTTATTATAAATTTTAATTTTACTATAATTTATATATTTAAGAGTATTTAACTATTATAAATTATAGTTATATAAAATACACATTTATTATGTTCATTATACAAGTTAAAATATTATATTTTTGTTTAATCACACATTTTTACCAAAATGTTACTTAACTTTTATATTTATTTTTTTTTAGTTATTTTTAAGAGTTATTCTTCAATGCATTTTTAGGGATATTTTTAACTTCTTATTTAACTCAATTTTTTTATTTTTCATATTTATTTATGAATTAAAAAATAATATTTAAATAAATTATTTGTAATATTGCCTTTTAAAGTACTTATTTTAATATTAAGTTATATGTTCAGTTGGATTGGTTCAGAAAAAGATACATAAGATTTCTTTAAAAAATTGAATCTAATAAGTCACATTTTCAAGAAAACCTTGATAAAAGTAATGAGAGGCTCTCTGAAGAAAATTTTGTCTCCTTCTTCTTGCTACATTCTTTAACCCTTTCCATAGTTGATCTGAATAGGATTAGTGCAGACTTAAAATTGGTGGTCGAGAGTTTCGATTGGTTGGAGTCATACAGTGACCCAAAACTCTTCTCTTCCCTTCCTCTATTCATGAGTTACGAGTGAATGTAAGGGAAGTTTTTTGTTATCCTTTGTTGTTACATGTTAAAGGTGTTGTTGATTTTCCCATTGGTGCCAAATTTTATTAATATTTGAAGTTGCCATGGAGATTTTGTAGGTATTTGGGATTTTGGGAGAAAAATCTTGATTTTATTGATTTTGTACCCAAATCCTTGTTGTAAGTTGTTTTGTTGATAGAAATGAAGTATTGATAATGTTCATATGAGTTTTGCTAGTTTGAATTTAAGTTCAGAGCCTGTAGGTGAGCTTCGGATGGATTATAGAGGCTTGAAAACCCTAAAATTGCGCACAACAAATA